TCACAACTTTCCCAGTACCTGGAGTGTTTTGGTGGTGCAGAACTGAAGCTGAGCTGATAACTGAAGACTGGGACCCATCCATCAGTCCCTCAGGATAAAGACCTAGAAAACTCAGTGGTGCAATTCTATTCTGTTATATGAGGTTAACTGTGAATCTAAAATCCACTCCTTGCCCCTGAAAACCACATATATTGCTGTTGTTGTTAAGTGAGGTTGAGTGGGTTCCAACCCATAGCCACCCCGTATAGGGTTTCCAAGGAATGGCTGGTGAGTTTGAACCACCGACCTTGCAGTTCAAACCAACTTTGCACCTGATACTAAGTGCAAGTGATTCTGTGATGAACAAGACAAGGTGGTTTTTGGCCTGTTATGTTACTTTAGGTCTCATAATCTGTCCAAACAGGGCACAACTGTGCTAGAAAATTTTTTCCTATAGTATTGTTTATGAAGTCCTGGTGTGGCACTGTGGGTTAATGCTCTGGACTGCAAAGTTGGTTTGAATTACAAGGTCGGCAGTTCACACTAACTAGCTGCTCCTTGGAAACCCTATACAGGGTCGCTATGGGTTGGAACTGACTGGACGGCACTTAACAACAACAACAAATTATGTTTATAAGGCACTCTGGTAGCAAAGTGGTTATGAGTTGGACTGCTAAACTCAAGGTCAGCAGTTCAAAACTACCAGCCATTCCACAGGAGAAAGATGAGGCTTTCTGCTCCCATAAAGATTTACAGCCTCAGAAACTCTATGCAGGGTCACTGTGAGTTGGAACCAACTCTATGGCACACCACCACCACCACCACCACCACTATACTGTATTTGAAGTCCTCATGGCACTGTTGGCTAGGTGTTGAATTGCTAAACACAAGGTTGGCACTTCAACCATATCAGCCACTCTGTGGGAGACAAATGAGGCTGTCTTCTTCTGTAAAGATTTACAGGAATCCAATATTTGGTTGTTATAAGTTAGAATGGGCTTGATGGCAGCAGGTTTGCTTTTTTTGGCATGCTGTATTTAAGGAGCCCTGGTGATGTGGTAGTTAAAGCAGTTGGTTGCTAACCAAAACATTGGTGGTTTGAGCCCATCAGTTGCTCTGTAGAGGAAAGATGGAGCAGTCTGCTTCCGGAAAAAAAAAAAAATAGCCTTGGAAATCCTATGGGGGCAGTTTTATAGAACAGTGCTTTAGGGTTTCTGTGAGTTGCAATTGACCAAGATGGCTGTGGGTTGAGCTTTTTTGATATTACATTTAAAAGTGTAAAGGAGACTTCTTTCTGGCTGTGGCTCATATCAAACTGTTCAGTTGGGCTTCGTTTTGTTTCTTATTTTCTATCTCTTAACACACATTTTTGATGGGTTGCAACTCCACCATAAGAAACTACCACCCTTGAATGTCCTGCTTACTCAGCTGAAAGCAGCAGCTGTTCCAATAAGCAATTTGATGTTCAGCACCTGAGATCGGCTCCCTCCTTCCAGCAAGACTGCAAGCTCAACAGAATGTAGGAAAGCATGAAACAGTTTTCCAGCCTGCTCCTTTGGATGCGGCAAAGACAGAAATACAGGTTAAAGGGAGAAATTTACATTTTAGGCCAGGAGAATTGGCTTCTCTATGTACCGTTTCAGCTGAACTGTTTTGATGACGTTCTGGGAATTAAAAAATGGTTGGTTTATGAAGTACTGTGATGGTAAGGTCGTGTAAGAGATGGTTTTGCTATTCTATAGTCTATCCCAAGAAGTATGCAGATAAATGTAGTTTTCTCTACATTTCTGGGTGTAGACATGCCCATATGGTTCATTTGAAGCTAATATGACATTACTGAAGACAAAATAGCTGATGTACACAATAGCATGCCATAAACTGGTCCAGAAAACCACTGTCCATCTTGGTTTCATTATAATCAACATGCTACAAGGGAGCAGTGGCCAGAGGAGGGCCTGAAGCAGACCTGAGAGTCTAAGAAGATGATGGATATTGAGAGACAAAGACCAATTGCAGCCAGTCCATGTGGCAGACAGACAAGCACCACAAGCTAGAGAACACACAAACATCTTGCCTGGTGGGCTAAGGTGAGGATGGAGTAAAAATCCAGGTGATAGTCCCAAACCTAGAGATTCAATGATGAAGGCAGACAGATTTATACTGTAAACATTAGTGACACCAATAGACATCTAGGTGACTTTGTATAAGATAACTAACTCCCAAGCTTTAGTTTCTCCAGCTATAAAACAGACATAATAATAGTTCCTACCATAAACAGCCACCAATCATCTGTGAGTTTATTATACTGTGGTGGCTTGCATGTTGCGATAATGCTGAAACATATGCCATTGGTATTTCAAACACAAGCAGGGTCACCCATAGTGGACAGGCTTAAGTGGAGCTTAACACAGGCTAACACAGACTAGATGGGAGGACCCAGTGACCCTTTCTGGAAAAAAAACAAAGACCACTGAAAATCTTATGAATAGTAGTGGAATGTTGTCTGATACAGAGCCCCTTAGGTTGATATAGAGCCCTTTAGGTTGGAAGGCATTCAAAACACAATTGGGAAGGCACTGCCTCCTGAAAGTAGAATTGACCTTAATGATGTGGATGGAGCAAAGCTTTGGGGACCTTCATTTGCTGATGCCCCATGACTCAAAAGGAGAACGAACAGCTGCAAACAGCCATTAATAATTGTAAACTGAAATGTACAAAGAATTAATCTAAGAAAATTGGAAGCCATAAAAACTGAAACGGAACATAAAAAGTTTGGTATCTTAGGCATTAATAAACTGAATGGACTGGTATTGGCAATTCTGATTTGGACAATCATATGGTCTACTATGCCAGGACTGATTAATTGAGGAAGAGTGGGATCACATTCATTGTTTCAAAGAGCGTTTCAGGATCCACCATGAAATTTAACAGTGTCAGTGATAAGATAATATCTATCTGCCTACAAGGAAGATCAGCTAACAAGACTATTATTCAAATTTGCCCACCAACCACTAATGCCAATGATAAAGAAAACTTCTGCAGTTTGAAATTGATCAAACATGCAATCAAGGTACATTGACAATTACTGGTGATTGGAGTGAGAAAGTTGGATTGGTAATTAGAAAATATAGCCATGGTGATAGAAATGAAAGCAGAGATCACATGATACAATTTTGTAAGATCAATGACTTATTCATTCCATATACATTTATTTTTTAACATCATAAATGGCGACATATATCTATATCTATATATCTATATATCTATATAGATATAGATATGGAGTCCTGGTGTGGTGCTGTGGGTTAATGCACCTACTGCAAAGCCATTTGGACTGCAAAGTCAGTGGTTCAAGCTCACCAGCTGTTCTTTGGAAACCCTATACAGGGTCAATGTGGGTTGGAACCAATTAGATGGCACTTCACAACAACAACATACGTATGGACTTTGCCAGATGGAATACACAGGAATCAAAGCTACTACATCAGTGCAAAGAGATGATGAAGAAGCTCAGTGCCATCAGAACAAGGCCAAGAGCCAATTGTGGAATGGACTATCAATTGCTCATATGCAAGTTAAAGTTGAAGCTAATGTTTTCTGTTTCCATTCATACAGTCCTAAATCTTCTGAACTTTATCCTGGGCAAATGTTGCCTTTTTGATCTCAAGTGATTGATTATTTGAAGGAGTGTGTACCTCTCTAGTGTTTTAGTCCCTCCTGTAGATCTGTCTAAGGAGCTCTAGCAGCACAGTGGTTACGAGTCTGACTTCTAACCTCAAGGTCAGCTAGTTCGAAACTACCAGAGGTTCCATGAGAGAAAGATGAGGCTTTCTGCTCCCGTAAAGATTTATAGCCAACTCCATGGCACACAACCACCACCACCATAGACCTGTCTTTTGTTGGACGCCTCATGTGGCGCTGTAGGATCAGCACTGGACTGTGAACTACAAGGTTGGCAGTTTAAATCCATCACCTGCTCCTTGGAAACCCTATCAGGTCACTATGAGTTGGAACCAACTTGATGGCACTTAACCACAACAACATTGTTTGCCTGAAAATCGAGGCCTAGCATGAATTCATTTCTAGATCAGAAGTGTGACTAAAGGCTCTACTTGTGGGGGTTCTGCCAGTCTGGATCTGATTGGTCTTTTTTATTATTTTGGGTTTTATCCCACATTATCTCCTCCATCCAAAACTTCCTTTTCAGAGAAGTTGGCAGTGGTAGTGGGGTATCATGTAGTTCTTCTGGTTACGTGGTCCATTAGTCCATCCTTTCTATGTGTCTTCTGTTTTCATCACTCTTTCCTCCTGGCAAGGAAAGAACAGCAGTTGCACCTCAGATAGCCTCTCATGAGTTTCTTAAAAATATAACTGATTGAATCCTAAGGCAATTGTGCAAAAAGCAAAAATATCATAAAAGGAAAACAAGGGTTAACTTCATACAGGGGCCAATAGACAAGATCTATGCAGCACAGCTATGAACCTTCACATACTGAAGTCTTCTTTGAAAGTCTGTCAAAAATTCAGATTACAGAAACTCACAAATGTCACCCACAAAAGGAATATTAATTGGGATAAAAAACTTCCCATAGGGTGACCTGCTCTGAAGGTATTTCAGAATTGTCCTAGTGTAATTAGGTTAAATCAAATCTGACTGATGGTTCCATTAGAAAACAAGAATGCCCCAGTCAGTACTGTTTGAAAATGTAAAACACTGGGAGGGGAGACATAAAATATAACAATCTTCATAGAGAATATATGTTTCCTATCATATATGCCCTCCAAAGAGACTCTTTACGTAGGGTTAAGCGTCATTCAATAAGGTGTGATCTTTCATCTTCAGAACTCATGTTTCTTGCAAGGTCTTTAGAGGTAGAAGTTCCATTTGAATTCTAATGTGGGTTCAAATACACATCCCTGTGATCTCAACTTCCTGAAAACATACACCTCCTGGGTTCTAGGTTCTCCTTACCAGTGACTGGACTCATTAGTTCACAGCCAACAGAATGTCACATACACTATTAACATGATGCAAGCTTGACATAGGTGGAATGCATATTCAAGTACTTTGCATCGTGGAGATATTTCTTGGCTCGATTGGACAAATTGTTAGCCTTTGAATCCAATGCTGATTGTAACACTTCTTCAATATTGGCCACTATGATCCTCTGCATATGGTGCAATTCAGTGTTGATGGAGCCCAAGTTCCTCAGAGCATGAGTGCCAACGCAGAGCTTTTTGGTTTTCTGAATGTAGGTATCAAACCCAATACAGGAATAGGGTCTAGATAGAGTGGGTGCTTTCTTTTCAGGTTGTTCATCAAATTCTGAATGCAAATCTAGGTAAGCAAAAGCCAACTTCTTAGGGAAGGCAGCTTCATAAAAAGCTAAGTAACACACATCCTGTTTAGTAATGTAGTGAAAAGTCCTGCTTCCAAGGTACATCTCATAGGGGACTGTTCACTCAACTTTCAAAAAAGTTGCTTAGCCTACTCTAGCACGAGGGAAGGTTCCAGCCAGACTGTTTGTCCTACTGCTTTAGAGGCGACCAGAGGAAGCCCGTCTGCCACTCAGGCATTCATTGTTAGCAACATCTTCTTCACAGATTACAAGAACCCAACATAGACTGGCTGGCCACAAACGTCATCCTCACTTCCTCTGCTGTGTTAACAGTTATATCTCAACTTCAGTTCCCAAAGATTCACTGCTCATGCGTTTTTAAGATTCCAGTTGATAGTCACTAAAGCAGGATGTGAAACATTGTAGAAGGTTATTACTATAATCTTCTGAGCTGACTTCTCTGCCTTGAATTTAACTGGCCCTGCAGATAGACCTCAGAAGCTACTGTTTTGATAGTCCCTATTTTTAGAAGGCACCCTAACAATACTAAGAAAAATGTATTATGAAGATAGCTTGTCTGTAGTCATCCACTGATTACGTAGACATGTTTAAACAGATTTGCTTGGAATAAACTCGTGTCTGTAAACCTAGTAGCAATACTTTTTGGACTTATCCTCGATATAGGCTTGATTCACACACACACAAATACACATACATGAGGAGGATTCAAGAAGTCTGTGAAAAAATGGAATTCAAGGATCATGTTTTTTCCATGAACATTTTGAAGTCTCTCTCTATATACATATATATACATATATATATAGTCCTGGTGTGACACTGTAGGATGAACACCGGACTTTTGTTGTTGTTAATGCTGTCGAGTTGATTCCAACCCATAGTGACACTGTATAGGGTTTTCAAGGAGTGGTTGGTGAGCTTGAACTGCCAACCTTGCAGTTCCACCGACTTTGCAGTATGACACATTAGCCCACAGCACCACCACACCAGGACTCCAAACACTGGACTGCTAACCACAAAGTCAGTGATTCAAACCTACCAGCCTCTCCTTGGAAACCCTATACAGGGTCGCTATGAGTTAGAACTGACTCGGTAGTACTTAGCAATAATATATATGCACAGAGCATCTACACTGAAACACATATAGTATTGCTTGGAGTTGAACTGTATCTCCTAAACCCTCTGCTACCTGTGAATGTGACCTTATTTGGAAATAGTCTTTAAAGGTGAAACCAAGTTAGGACCATTGGGGTGAGGCCTAATCCGATAAGAGTTGTCTCTATTGCATAAGAGGAGGCCCAGACACCTAGGATGATAGAGATGGAGATTGGGCTGATATGTTGACAAAACTAGCAAAGTGGAGGAGCTCAGAGAGAGGCTGCAACAGATTCCTCCCTAGAGCCTTGGAGAGAGCAGGGGGCACCATGACTGGACAGTGAGAGACTACAGTTGTGTTGTTTTAAGTCCCCCAGACTGTGACACTTGGTTACAGCCCTCATAGGAAATGAGTAGCTCTCATCCTGCACATCAGTGGTCTGTGCGAAAGTCTCTTTTCTGTGGCTGTTCTGTTAAACTCCAGCAGATTGCTTTAGTCCTAGGGAGCTGGAAGAACCTGTGGTTACCGGTCTTTCTGGATTTTCAGTCTGCAAAATGTGAGAAAAGCAACTACTGGGAAATTTTTTGTGCTCTGGCTATAAGATGTGCATTGTGTTCTTCTAGTTGATCTCACCAATCTGTTCTCTAAGACACACCTTAGATACACATGTCTTTCTGCTGCGTATACTATGGAAAGTCTTGGGAATCTATCTACATGCTTTACCATGGGCAATGGTGGCCTCATGTGGTCTGGTTCCAACACAGCCTCCCACGTTCTACCCTGTCCACAGAGCTGTAGTCACATGACTTCCTCTTTTTCGCCTCTGAGCCTTTGCATATACCGTTCCCTTAGCCTTTCCCTCAGCTTCCTGGCTCCTTCTCTGACTGTGGTTGCTTCCTTGGCCTTCTTTAGTGGCAGAAGTTAAAAAGTAGGTTTCAGCTCTGTTAGTCTCCCTTACAGCTTCCTTTTTTGCTTCAATTACTGACATTTTGAACAAGCTATATTTGGCAAGATAGGATCAGGAAATAATTTTATTTTTCTCCTATTATAGCTTTAAACCTGCCAGGGGAGGAGTTGCCAAGGATGATATTGTAAGTGAATCTCGTGGCTTTAATGATAACTTTAATGTATTAAAAACATCTTGTTTTTAGATATCAAATAAACCCGAACCAAAACTATTGTCATTGAGTGGATTCTGACACATTGTGACCCTGTAGGACAGCACAGTTGCCCCATGGGGTTTCTACGGCTGCGACCATTATGGGAACAGATAGCCTCATCTTTTTTTCCGTGGGGTGGCTGGTGGGCTCAAACTGCCAACTTATCACCAGAGCTCCTTTGATATTATTGCTGTTGTTAAATGCTGTCAAGTTGGTTATTACTCATAGGGATCCTGTATAGGGCTCCCAAAGAGCACCTGGTGGGTTTGAACTGCTGGCCTTGTGGTTTGAAGTGCAGTTCTGATGCTACAGTGTCACACCAGAAGTCCTCGATCTTATGTTCAAACCTACCAGCCATTCTTTGGAAACCCTATACAGGGTCATTATGAGTCAGAATTGACATTAATAGTCCAGCCTAATTTAATAACACAAAGTGAGGTCCTCATTTAACTCAAGGTGTTTATCGAGCTTGACTTAATGGTCCATTGATCAGAAATACAGATGTGGTCTGGTCTTCCATTTTCCTCACTTTTTTTGCCTTTTACTCTTCTGCCTCGTTATTTCTACTGGCATCTTAAGACAGGCTAAAGTGGAGAAATGAGAGCTAAATTTAAGATACAGAGATAATCACTGTTGTTGATGGGTGTTATTGAGTGGATCTGAATTCATAGTGACCCTTTAGGACTGAGTAGAACTACCCATAGTGTTTCCTAGGATGTAATGTGTACAGGGATTGGGTGTCCTGCTCTGACAACTAACCACAAACTCAACGCTTCAAACCCATTAGTTGCTCCTCGGAAACCCTGCACAAGTCCTCTATGGTTCGGAACAGATTTGACCACACTTGACAGCAACAACAATTTTTATAGGCAGGATCCCTGGTGTTACAGTAGTTAAGTACTGGGCCGTTAACTGAAATGTCAGTGGTATTAACCCATCAGACACTGAATGAGAGACAGAGGTAGCAGTCGGCTTTGGTAAAGATTACAGCATTGGAAACCCTATGGGGCAGTTCTACTCTGTTACGTGGTCACTATGAATTGAAATCAACTCGAAGGCCATGGGTTAATCTTTACAGGAGCAGATCACCAGGTCTTTCTTCCGTGGAACTACTATTTGTTTCAAATGGTCAACCTTGTAATTAGCAGCTGAGATCTTTGTTGTTGTTAAGTGCTGTTGAGTTGGTTCTGACTCAGCAACCCTGTGTCTGTGATTTCCGAGAGCAGCTGATGGATTTGTACTTCCGATCTTGTGGTTACTAGTCAAATTCTCATCCTACAGCACCATACCAGATCTCCTAGACTACCCTGATACATAGATTTGGGATAAAAGATAGGTCACAGGGCCAAGGATTGCTTTTGACTGCCTCTTAGGAAGTCCTGCATGTATCGTCTACAGTTTTCATTAGAATTTGTTAAGGGGGAATTGATTAGTTATTATTTCCTATTGTCTCAGCTTCGAGCCCACCTAGAGATGCCTCAGAAGAAAGTTTAGCGATGGACTTCAGAAAAATCAGTCACTGAAAACCCCATGGCGCACAGTTCCATGGATCATAACGACTCAGAATTGACTTGACCATAACTGATATTTTGTTCTTCAGAATCTGACTTTGACCAAAATTCTAAGACCTCAAAAACTTCATTTGATATCTTATTGTGTTCTATGTGTTATTTAATTTATTTTTATTTATGTTCAGGTGGTCGGTATTGTGCCATTGAGTTTGTTGTATAGGATTTCCAAGACTGGGTTTTGAACTGCCTACCTTATGGTTACCAGTCCAGTGCTTATCCTACAGCATCATACTAGGGATTATTGTATTCATGACTTATGAGTTCCATTCCAACAACTATTGAAAGCTGGTTCTGACATAAGTCAAATTTGTTGTTGTTGTTGTTGTTGTTAGGTGTCATCGAGTCGGTACCGACCCATAGCGACCTTATGCACAGATGAACAAAACACTGCCCGATCCTGGGACAACCTCACTACTATTGCCACACTTGAGTCCATCAATGCTGCCACTTGGCCAGCCCATCTCGCTGGGGGTCTTCCTGTTTTTCTGTGACTCTCCAGCTTACCAAACATGATATCCTTCTCCAGTGACTGGTCCCTCCTGACAATATGTTCGAAATATAAGACACTAAATTTGGCCATCTTGGCCTCCAGGGAGCACTCTAGCTGCACTTCTTCCAAAACGGATCTGTTGGTTCTTTTGGCAGCATTTTCAGTATTCTCCTCCAGCACCATAACTCAAAAGCATCAATTCTTCTGCAGTCTTCCTTATTCACTGTCCAGCTTTCACATGCATATGAGCTTTTTGAAAATACCATGGCTTGGATCAGGAGCACTTTAGTCCTCAAGCTGACATCTTTGCTCTTCAACACTTTAAAAAGGTCTCGTGCTGCCAATTTGCCTAATGCAGTACATCGTCTGATTTCTTGACTGCTGCTTCCATGAGTATTTAGTCACTGAAAACCTTGTGAATAAGTCAAATATCTCATTAAAAAAAAGTTTTCACTATTATTGCCCTTTATTACCAGAATCTTTATAAATCTGATGTTTATTTGCCTTCCAGAGTTGGCAGGAGAATGACAATATCAGCAAATTACATGGTACAACCTTGTATTTAGTACATATTGCTAAATGCACTTTGTTGGGCAAATGTCGTCAAACTGTTCAAGAACAAAGATCTCAGTATGAGGACTAAGGTATGCCTGACCCAAGCCATGGTACTTTCACTAGCCTCCTATACATGTGAAAATTAGGCAAGGAATAAGGAAGACCACAGAAGGAATGATGCATTTGAGTCATGGTGTTGGAGAAGAATATTAAAA